CCCCATATAAGTTATTTTAATGTAATTTGCAAGGTGTAAGTTGCTCTTTAAAAAATTGAGTACAACTTTCAGAATTATTCTGTCTCTCATAAACAAATGATATAGTTTTTTGATTTAAGAAATATAGGACTCTGTACAGTCTTTGATGCTCTCTGAGCTTGGTTGTTTTCTTGCAGACATTTCATTATCCAATTCTGTTCATATACAAACAATAAAGCAGCAACCAACATCCTAATCAAGGAACTACCGAGAAGAAAACAGCTCTCCCATCAACACTGACAAGGCAAGCCACTGAATATAAACAGAGAGAAAATTCAAGTCCCTTCTAGCACTGAAGATGTTACCTAGTTGGGTAATGAAATGTCTGCAAGAAAACAAGCAAACTCAGAGAACATCAGGGCCCATATAGTTCAAATCTGAGCTAAAAATATTCTCTTCTCTGGTCAATGCTATGAATGGATTTTGTGACCGAATTCATTTGGGTAGATTTTTTCAATTTCTTAGTTACAAACCATGATTTTAAATTTTTCCAAAATGCCCAATAAATTATTTATTTGAAGGTTTCACAATTTTAGGAGAGAGACTAATCACTGCCTTTCACTAAGACATTTTTGTTAGAAAGTCTGTGACATTCACTGACCTTCGTGAAAAAAAAAAGCTATTTTGAACAAAATTCTCCAAATATTCTGTTTGAGATCTTAGGTGATGCTGAATGGCTTATTTCTCTTCTTTCCAAAATACTCCAAGATGAACATATCTCTGGAGCATTCAAGAAGAGGTAAAATGGTAGCCAAAATGACAAAAGTATATTTGCTGATACCACTTGAAATAAAAAAAAACCTCAAAGACAAAATAAAATAAAAATAAAATAAAATAAATAAAATAAAATAAAATAAAATACACTTTTGGTATAAATTGCTGTGGTGAACTCACTGTCCCTTTTTCCTGTTCCTGATGCACAAGATCAAGAATTTTGTAAAGCTCTGCCCTGACATAGAGAGTTTTGACCTGACAAATTGGCTTATTGGAATGAGAACGAGAGCTGTGCTCATTAAGAAATTATTCGTAAAATAAGCAAATGTTAACATTCCTGTTGAAAGATACAATAAATATTAGCGGGTGGGGCAGTAGTGGAGCTTGTCACTCTTCCAGAATGAATGGTGTAACTGAAATACTGATGGTCACAAAGCTTTTGGGGAAGGAGAGAGAAAAGTTAATGTAAATATGAAATCCCTAATAGGTGTTCAAATGTGCTTATGAGCAGTTCCCTTGGCACCCTCTAAACACCTATCCTATTTAGATTACTTTGACTTGAACTACATGTTATATGCTAGAACAATCTTTATCTTCAGGAATGTCCTCTTAGTTTAACATAGGCCTCATAGGAGGGTTTAGGACAGGGGTGGGGAACTATGGCTGGCTCAGGAATTCTGGGAGTTAAAGTCCACAACCTCATAAAGGGGTCATAGTTCCCCACCCCTGGTTTTTCAAATAATGAAAATGCCCTTGTGGTTTGTTCAGAAATATGCCCTCCTGGCTAGAAAAAATTCAGAGGCGAGATATGATTGAACTTTAATCTCCATGTGCTTTAAAAAAACCTAGGCAGAATGAATTTTTTTCAGTTTATTTTCTGTTTTTTTAACTGCTAACTGCTGAAGGGCTAAGTACCATGTAGCAGCCATTTTCTTGAAGGCCCACAGCATGCTCTCAAAAAATCAAATATGCCCTCAGGGTCCAAATGGTTACTGATGCGGCAAAAAAATTCTCCTAATAGTTTATAGCTGCCATCTTTCTTTCCTTTCAAAATTCCAGAAGTTGAGTCAGCTTGGACACTGAGAAAAACTTTAACATACATTCAATGCCACTTTTGTTATTCCACCCACAATACAATAAAAGGACTAAGAGCACTGTGGATACATACAAATGATAGCTGGAAGCTACCTGGCAGAAGACAACCAAAAATGTTTTGACAAACCACTGCTTTTGTTTGTTTTAAGAGGGGTTCTTGGTGTTCTCTGAGCTTGGTTGTTTTCTTGCAGACATTTCAATAACCAAACTAAGTAACACTATCAGTTTGTTTTAATTAAAGAGTGTTTAATTAAACACTAAGCTTCAGCACTAATCCTTAAAATTTTGGACTCTGGCTTTTGCCTAGAATGCCGAATGCCATAGGTATTGACCCCTATTTTTATTATTATGAATAATTGTATTAAAAATTACAATTACAACAATAAAAACTAATACAAACTTTAAAAAAGAATAAAAAGAAACATTGAAGGTACAGAAAAGAAAAAAGAAAAGGAAGAAAAATAAAAATATAGTAAAGGAAAAGAAAAAATAAAAAGAAATGACTTTCTCCTTCATCACAACATATAAACAATTTCAGTAATTTCTCCTAAAATACAACAAATGATCTCTTCTTCCCATATCCTGACTCTATAAACAAATCTTTAAAGCCTTGTCATTTCAGTCCCAATGTCAGCAAAAGTCCATTAAAGGTTACCAGAGACAACAACAGCTTTTTGTGGAGCTGTCTTCAATCTGCCATTTTTGGCTGCTAGGCCAGTATTTTTATTAGCTACTGTTAGTGCATGGTGGACATCTTAAGGTCCCTAGTCCATCTCACACTTCTGGGACTGCCTTCTAATCACATAGCTGAAATTAGCAAAATTCTCTATAATTTTGAACAGAAAAAAAGAACATCTTACAGTCTGGAACCTGCAACTGGATTAATGTTGTTAAACAAATGCATATGAAATGTTACTAAAAATATAAGGGAATAAAGACAATTCCATCTTTGAGTTAAAAAAAAGTAGCAAGTCTCCACTTGCTTAGCATTATCAGCCTGAGACTTTCGCACTCAAAGACACCTATGGCCTCTTGATTCTAAACCTAGTCTACCCCTGATTTTAATTATGTACTATAGTAGTTTGGACTGTGATTTGGAAAGTTTCCAATTCAAATAGGACACCAATATTTTTTTTACTAGACAGCCAAATCACAATATCTCAAAACAGTAGATGTTGCAGAATATTGATCTGCTTACAAGACTGTACTTCATTCAGAATATGTGAAGCACCAGAAAGACTGATACAGCCAGGGCTTTTTTTCTCATAGAACGCCCAGAACGGAGTTCCGGCACCTTTTTTGGATGGAACCTTGTAGGGTAGGCAAGGCGGGTTGTATGACATGTGTGAGTTCCGGCACCTTTTTTCTTTTTTAGAAAAAAAGCACTGGATACAGCTATATAAACTACTAAGTGTTATGCTTTTCTGAGGAATATTATTGCATCTACTATAAATGAGATATGTAGATTTAAAAATCTGAAAGGCAAATTTCAAACATTCTGATTAAGGAATTCTTTCCACAATAAGTTTAGTAACAGAAATTTCACTATGCTCGGCACAGCATTCAATGATATTCTTTTGCCTGCAGTTAAAAAAAAGCATTGCACACCAAAACATTTAAAAGGGAATCTAAAATGAAAAACACAACAGAAATCCACAAATTGCAGCTATTATCATTTCCCCAGGTTTTGAGACTTGAGAATAAAAAAAAAAGTCTATTTAACTTTTTATATTACTAACATTATTTTAATCTGGAAGCTTTTAAAAACCTATTCTAATAGATTTTTTTAAAATGAAATGTGTAAATTTACATTTGTATCTCTACATCCTCATCAAACCTCTTAATACTCTTTCCCCAAATTTGCCCAGCCCTAAAATGATAGTGGGAAATTCATGGTCCCCCTCTAATTTGCCCAGCCCTAACATGATAGTGGGAAATTCATAGTCCCCCTCTAATCTACCCAAGCACGTCTAAAATATAACAATAAATATTATGGCAACAAGTTTGATTTTTTTAAAGCCATTTTCATCAAAACACATATCCAGTCATAAAAACCTGAAATACACCATTTGATGGAGACCATTCTTTTGTGGCCCTCTCAGTGTCTAAATATTTTTTAAATAAAGGCATGACCTCAGCCAGGTTTAACAGTATCACATTATTTTCAAATATAAAAGTTTTCAGATCTTTAATATTAGACTATATCTATTTGCTCTCGAGACCAATGGCACCTGAAATTTCTTAGAAGCAGAACACTCAAATTTACACCTAAGATAAATCAGGTTGGAATGCTTGCATTTCTATTGCACCAGGGCTTTAAAGTGACATTTTGCCAGCCCATATCATAAAAATCAAAAATTTTGTTTATTCTGAAAGTTTAGAAATTTAATTTGCTTAGAATGCCATACTTATCAATATTTCTATGAAGTTATGTAACAATTTCAAAAGGAGAAACAGAACTGGTGAAGAATTCTCTTTTTTGTATTTTTTTGTATCTTTAGTGCCACCTTCTGGCATTTCAGGGACAATACATTTATTTTTATATTAAAATCTATTAAATTCATTTGTAAAGGAGTTTACAGTACAGAATTGGGTGGAATCATTGAAATAGCATTCTAAATATGATTTAAAAAATAAGTTTTCGATATCTAAGTGCAGAAAATCCCAACAAAGAAAGGAATTTCTACTTAAAATTTCAAAATAGGCAAATGAAAGCAACCTTCAGCAAAACACAATTTTGGGAGAATCTTAAGAATCAACCCCTCCCCTGGGAATGGATGAATTAGTCTTCCACCAATCTATATCATCGTAAAATGTGAGACAAACTCTCAAGCTTCATGCAAGATACACAAAACCCATGATTCTGTTCCATTTCAGTTCTCTGCTTATGTAATTTTAAAAATGGGAATGCAACTTTGCACTTAATTATATATTTCAAAAATACCTGTTAAAATATTTGCATTTCATAACTTATCTTTCCAGATGTCTAATTCCCCTCCTACTAACATGTTTTGACAATCGTAAATGTTAAGGCATAATTAAATTATTAACTGTATGACCATCCAGGTGGTGAGTATCATTCAGCTCACAGGAGACTTCAAACACCTTGACCACATCAGTAGTTAGGTATGGGATATATCTAGATAGTTTACCTTGGTCTGGAAGCAGCAATAGAGCTGTGTTAAATAAGGATGCTTTCGTGCTAATGCCAGAATCCGCTTTTCTGTCATTGTACAGTCCACATCATCATCTTGAAGAATGACATCTTTCTTTAAGACTTTTACAGCATATACTTCATCTTTACCTTTGAGTTCCGCCAGCATGACCTAGAATCAAGGACAATGTCCCATTTATAAAACACATTTCACACTTTTCAAAAGTTACACCAATAACAACTGGGGGAAAATAAACAATCCCAAGCAACCTTGAAGCAAAATATTTTACAAAGGTCCTATGTACAATATCTATCTGCTCAACTACACACAAATTTGTACATATCACTTAACAATTCAAGATATAGTTTGACTTAGAGCTGTGAGCCCAATATAAAAAGGTAAGCAGTGTCAGCTCCAACTGAAAAATCAGCTTTTCATGAAAGATATAGAACCAAATCCAGTACTCGTCATAGAGTTTAGTATCCATGTGAACAAGTAGACCCATTTATTGTCAGGGTACCTTTATAATTTAACATGAAGAAATTCTTGTGTATGATGAACCATGAAGAAATTTTTGCACATGTTCAAACAACTTCTGGACAGCTCCTATAGATGAGAGTATATTTGTAATCAATAGCAATATGCACATTCACGCACTCAGAGTAGGGGGTTTCTATTGTTAATAATGCATTATTCTTAAATAAGTAAATGGAGTACTCCTACAAACCTAATTTTGAGCAATTGTAAAGGAATATGACAAAAAATAATATATTTTTATCTTTAGAAGGCACTTATAAGCCAGCAGGAAAATGATACAGGGATACACATATAAATATTTGTAATCCAGGATCTCTGGCACTGATTAGAAAACCAAGGATAGACACAATGATTCTGCTTTGAACCTGACTGATACATTTCTGGTTTTAGTTCCATTAGAGATCTCTCCAAGTAAACCAAGGCACATGAGGCTTATAAGATTTGCAAGTAAACCAGATAGCAAGCCTGCTCTATCATGTCTTACATACAGTAGCCACAAACTTTGGCCCCTTTGCCAACATGGTTCAGCATTCATTTCATTTCCTTGGTATAGTTTCCTTTACTATACCAAGTCTTTCTGCTTCTGACTGCATGATCCTTATCCACTTGTTCATGAACTGACTCTGGAATGATTAGGGTGTGATGTGAATTTCCTCCTTAGTAAGTTTCAGTCAAATAGTTTGCATATTCCTTTCACCACACAAACTCAGTCTATGAATGCAATTATAACTGGAATAATCAAACTAGGTATTAGCTAGGTATAAACTGAGTAGACCGCTGTAGAGTTCTGCAAAGTCATCGTGTGATGACTTCATAAATAGACCATTAGTTGATCTAAGTCCCATGGATCACATCAACACAAAGCAATTGCAAATAAATTTATTGGACATGTAGTAAATAGTGTTCTTTAATTACGTTCCGTTAACCATATTAGTATTTAGTAACAAATGAGATCATCAAAGACATTGAAAAGCATATAAATTAGCTTTTACATTTATACTTCACAATACAGATGAAGATGTCATCAGAACCAATCTACATTCAATATGGACCTAGATTTTGCTGCAGATGAGAGCCAGGATCTTGGCTTAGCAAAATTATACACTTACCAAAATTATACACTATGGGTTGGGACAGTCTACAGCCAAGTGATTCCTCTTTACCATAGCAACTTGCCTATTCACTCAGGCATGATAGTTGGTGACATGCACAGACATTGTAGTATGAAACTTATTGCCAGTACCCAACAGCAGTAGGAATGATAATGAGGAAGACGTTGAGCAGCAGCAGCTACCCTAAAGAACATGGATGCAGCATTGTCCAGATACACTAATGTTTGCAATACAGTACTAGAACAAGCAGCTTTCTCCAATATCTGGTTTCTAGTTTGACTAGAAATAACATACTCCCTAATCAGCAGTTGCAGATACAAACATATAAAGGAAGTGAACCCAGAAAACGTTCAAAGAATGTACCCCCTCACACAAGTGAGGGAATCATGGCAAAGTGAGATCTCTTTTTTAAATAGCACAGGTCTTCTTGAGTAAATATATTGGTCCCAATAAAAATGTTTGGCCCATATCTTTTCACATTTAGAATTGTAGGTATCCCTGATTATCTTGCATAGAGCTGAAGAAACCTACAATGGTTCTATAATTATAAAAAGTGAGATTTGTCATTACTTTTTTTCACTATTCTGTAACTGCTTTATAGGGTGTAGTGATTGGAGCTAGAACAAATACAATCTAATATCTCATGCCATGTTATGTTTGCATGGCAGGTAAGTTGAAAAAATAAGCAAAAATTTGATTTGCAAGATCAGAAAAAACAAAATAGGAATCATCTACACAGAGAAGAAATGTCAATCACCTGACAGAACACTTTCTGCAGTTTGGCTCATTGACAAACATAATTTAGCACTTTAATAAGTAGATATGTATTCAACTCACAGTATAATGCTGACTTTTTTTTTTTAAATCAAACTTTGAAATGAGAAACATTTCTACCACAGGATTTGAGGAAATTCACAGATATACATTCCTGCTATAGTTCTTTTCTGTACATAGATGGCAACATATTCTTTTATAAGAACAAGTAAAACAATACACTATGATAGATTGTAATGTGTACAAAGACAGCAACTGAACAGAATGCAGATCTTGATCTTCTGCAACTACATCTCCAACATCAGGTTTTGTCAAATTACTCTCCTGAAGTTATATTGGCTTATGAGTTTATCTAAGGTCAGAAATTCCTAGAAGGCATCATGCCTACATTATCTATTGATTCAAACTAGCCCACAAGGCAGCAGCATCCGAAGGAGACTGAAGTCAGGATGATCTGACAACAATCCATTGTACCTACCAGCTTAGATCTGAAACCACTTAATGGATCATCAAGTTTGTCTGTGCAACCAAGTTTCTAAAATCAATGCACAAAGTATATTTGTACTGAGTAGATAGGATAGGAAAATTTAACAAATAGTGTCATAAACAACTGTAGAAACCAATGTCAAATTGCAATTTATTTGTAAGATTTATACAATGGCAGAGATTGGTCTCCTGTTGAGGAAGATCACATGACTTTACAAATTACTCCCCCAACTACTTCCAGATCCCCAAATCATGGAAACAAATATCATCAATGTAGGCTGGGTATAGAGTGCTATGAATTTCTTATAATATTTCAGGCATGCATTTAGCTTTTCTTGTCATTCTATTGGATTCTTTTCTGTTCTATTTTTTAAAAAGTATTTACATTTAAATCCCTAGAGATTTTGGGCAATGTAAGAGCAAAAAACAAGGAAAAATAATATAGGAATAAAATCAAAACATAAATTAAGACCAATGACTGATAACAATGAGTGAGCTGCCAAAGACTCATGGAATAAAATGGATTTAATTGATTTTAGAATGTCAGCAGTTGGGCTTCGTGTACTTCTGGGAGCAGAAGGTCTGAAGGATGGGGGCCACCACAAAGAAGACAGTGTTTTATCCTTATTTAATGGGTAGTGTATGGGGGGTGACTTTTAACAGCCCTTCTCTAAGTGAACAAACTGGACAAGACAATCTAATACTGATAATGTGATGCCTGATATATCCTATTTACTGAGCTACATATGACTTTGAAGGAAATAAAAGCACTTTGAACTGGCCCCAGAAGTTTAATACCAACTAATAGATTGATATTAATATTATTCTACATAGATAAGTATTAACAAGGCACAGTAATACAATCCTGGGTTGTATAAACAGAGGCATAGAATCAAAATCACACAAAGTATTAGTACCGCTTTATAAAACCCTATTAAGACCACACCTGGAATACTGTAGCCAATTTTGGTCACCATATCACAAAAAAGATGTTGAGAGTTTGGAAAAAATTCAGAGAAGAGCAACTAAGATGAACAAAGGCCTGGACATACGAAGAACGGCTGTGGGACTTGGGTTTGGCAAGTCTAAAGAAAAGAAGAAATAGGGGAGATATGATAGCAGTATTCCAATATTTGAGGGGCTGCCACAAAGAAGAGGGAATCATGTTATTCACCAAAGCACCAGAGGGAAGGACAAGAAACAATGGTTGGAAACTGATCAAAGAGAGAAGCAACCTTGAATTAAGGAGAAACAGGGGGCTGGACTAGAAGACCTCCAAGGTCCCTTCCAACTCTATTCTATTCTATTCTATTCTATTCTATTCTATTCTATTCTATTCTATTCTATTATACTATTTGCAACTTCTGGATCATGTTCAAAGACATACTGTATGCCGAGACTTCCGGTGGCAGGCGACTTCGTCGGTCGCAGCTGTTTGCTGCCTCCCGCCTGTTTCGCGTAAAAGCCGGTTTGACAGCCAGCATCAGCTGTCAAACAGCTTGATACCTTTCCCCTGGGCATAAGGGGATAGGTGAGCTGCCCGGGGTAGGAGTTGAGTTCCCGAGTCGTCCTATATGGACGATGTAGGTGAGAACTCCTCCGGAGCCCCGAGGATTCTCCGCGATCCAGGACGCCTTCGCTTCGGCGAAGCTAGAAGCCGCCGCCACCGCTGCAACTTGAAGTTAATTGTGAGTTT